TCTTCAGTTACATTCATTAAATCTGCAAACCAGAGTAGCATCAAACTATGTCTTATTATTACCCATTCCCTTTTATTCCGTAGGAAATTTGTGTTCCGATGTATGTCCTCAATTTTACATCTTGAACAAAACCAAGCTACCAATTCGATGAGGAATGATATGTGTATCAACATATAAAGACTTATTATCAGCAAGGATAAAAAATGATGAGAAAAACAAAAAAGAAACAAAAACGACAAGATTCCCCGCGCCAGGGTTTGAACCCTGACCACGGGGTCAGATGCTCTACCCACTGAGCTGCGGGGAACTTGTCAACATCTGAGGTAAAACTGTAAGCTTAAGGTTTCGATGTTTTTTTTACTGCCAGGATCAAACTTAGCAACAGAAGCGAAGAAGTGTATTGAAAACAGGGTAAAAGTACTTGTACCAATATTGGAGATATTACTGTCGGACCACTGAATGAAGTAAAAGTACTGTAATCAAGTAAAATAATTGTACCAGCTTACAGTTGATAGATGAATAAAGACAGAATACAGACAGCAATTAATTACTGAATAAATACGCAACAGGCGCTATCTCATCGTACGATAATTTTTGAGCAATGGTTTGCTGATGGCTTACTCAGCATGAATGAACATCAGTAAGATAATAAAGGAAAAGTCTTTTGACTTAAATGAAAGGTTATTATACTGATTCAGCTATTTTATTGAATTGAGGCAAGAGACTATAAGATCGAGATTAAGTTCATGATGTGGAGAAGAGTAAAACTTACCATAAACTGGGGATTAGTGTTCATTTATTTCCAAAAAGAAAACACTCAGCGGACAAACACCGTCACTCACCACTATTCATCGGCGAGGAAGAAGATGAGAAAACAAACAGATATACAAAACAAACTGAAGCAAAAAACAAACGAACAAAACAGTAATAGATAAAAAAAAGATAAAACTTGGTATTAACCTGTTAAAAGCGCGTTTAAATAGAAAAATTAGACCTGCGATAGACATTTATACCATTTTTGTTATTTGAGAATGATCATAAGAGTCACTAAGTTTGTATGATTATGATAGTGATATTAATAAGCATATATAGGGAAGGAACAGGAAGTTTGCAAAAAAGGCCCCTGTATTTACACGGATCTTTTTCATTTTCCCAGCACATAAATTGAAATTGTGGACTGGCATTTAAAATGAAAGAAGATTAGATGACTTGCGTTTGTTGATGAATTATGATTTTCTTGTTGTAACTCGAAGAAAAAAAACAGAGAAAAACTTTGTCTAATTTTTTCCAGTAGTTGTCTAGTGCACGCCCTTGTGTTGTATACGAGAAGGTTCAATTTAAGTTGAAACGAAATTTTCAACACTAAGTGGCCATTTGATGAAACGCTCATAGACTGACTTTCGTCGGGTCGGTTGGGAAGATGTTTGGGTCGAGGTCATGACTTGTGGACCGCGCGAACTGCACATTGATATGTGTATATAATTCTTTCAATGCTTTTCCCGTTCCTCTTCTATTAATTTTCCAGAAGTTCCATGGTTAGTTCTTTACGAATCAAACAATGTCTTCTGATCTGTTCATTCGGAAAGTAAATTTACAATGGACGTATTTCACACCAGTAGAATAACAAAAATTAATACCAGTCGCGTTGGACAGGTAAGTTTTCCTATTATATTGCAAAAGTGTTTCTCAGTACAATTGGATGGAAACCTATTACCAAGTAGAATTCATTCTTTGATTAAATAAAACGATTTACGAAATATTGTGCTCTTATTTCAGAATGATCATTTTCTTTTATTTTAATCAGCCCTCGTCAATTATTGAGCTAACCAAGACAACCAATAGAAATCATTTTTATTTTTAATGTCAATAAATATATATGTTGACCAATGGATAAAAAGGAAAGAACGGCTCAAATTCATCTAATTGGTGCAAAGACAGTATAAATACTGCACCCAGAAACGTGTGTGCTCCACCTTCAATAAAAGTTTGCCAGTTTAAAGGGTCTACCCAAAACTCAAACAGACAAACTGGTTTCTGTTTTGGTTATTTCCAGGAAGAGAGAGAGACCACCCCCCGGTTTCTCTTGGTTTCACCGAAAAAATAGCTTCAAAACAAGTAAAACGTGTAAAGTTGTCACTGCGATGGGGACTTTAAGCAACGAGAACGGGGACGGGGACGGGGACCGCAGGCTCTCAGGGAAAATCCAAATAATCATCTGCGCATGACTGGCGGTAAAAAGTTCGGCCCCGACGTGAAACGAGTCACTTCGACGTTGGCTGAAAACGTTAGTATTCTTTTTCGCCTTTTCTGCTATCTAAACGTTAAATATTCTCGGGAGACGATTTAAAATAACTTTCATCGCTTTTTTTCTTTCATAAAGTGAGATTATTCGTTAATTTGATGGTTTGTTTTCGAACAGAAACGTCGAGACGCTGATCGAGACCGACACCATTTAACGAAAATGTGAGTAAGAAATGTAATGTAAATAATCTTAGCTAACACTGATACCAATCAAAATTCGCCGCTGAGAATCACTCAAAAGTCAAGAGTTTGACAAAGAAGATATTCTTACCAGATTTAAAAGGGCAGACAGCCCTACAACTTACGTAACCGTTTTGGTTTTTTTTATCTGCCAGCACAATTTTGAAGAATTTTGTCGCGCCAGTCGACAAACATCTACCGAGAATATTTTCTTTCAGTTTACTTTGTAGGATGCTATCATTCCATTGCAAAATTCTGTGACTGTGTGCCTAGTAGATGTAGTCGATCATGTAGTTGTTTATCATGCATAACACTGGAACAGGCTTCCCAAAGCGAGCTATCATGTTTTAATATTGACAAGGATAGCTAGGTCTCTTTAGAAAAATGCAAAGAGCCTCCAATCCGCTACAGATACTTCTTTGATAGAACTCCACTACCTCAGGAATCCCCAATACTTCAGCCAGAAATGGTAAGCTCGTTCTTGTAGAAGCGAAACTCTGAAAGGCACTCGTCGTCTTCCAAATCATCGAAGTCAAAACCAGGATAAGAGTTGTACAGAAGATCAACATTATCGGACCTGTTCGCTCGATAAAAGTGTCGCCGGCGTTGAATTGCGTGACCTAAAGAATGAGCCAGCAATATTTTGACCAGTGGGCTTCCTGTTAAATAAAAATATCCGAAGACAAAACCACTTGATTTTGAGGGTAATGACAATAACTTGAACGAAAAGTGAGATGCAAAGATTTGTATTTTTCGAAACCTAATAACAGCTGTACCCCTCTCCTGTAGTCTTAGTCCTTATCTCGTGCCTTGTTTGGTCAGTTTCGAACTCTGAAGCTAGATCATCAGTATTGGTGCCTTCGTCCTTACTCGCACTTACAGAGGGGGATCTCTTCAATACTTTGTGAAAGATTTCTAGTCTTATGACCTTAGTAAGGCCCTGAGGTGCTCCAAACTGTGCCAGCGAGTCTACGCCATAAACTTGTCGCAGTTCCAAAGTCAGTATCTGCGTATCCCTTGCAATCATATGATACAAAGTTCATGACAGTCAGTACTCACCAATTGGGAAAATTGATGTTCAGAGAAGCGTCCTTCTTCCTTAAACATCAGTTGACAAAAAGACAACCGTTACAGTACGCGTTTTATTATTCTTGCCACTAGGAAGACCCTCCGCCAGCTTTGATTTCTTCCGCCATCTTCAGATTTAGCTCGCTCCCAACTTAAAGGTCTCCAATTTTTATGAGAACGATATTGGCAATTACGAACACCTCGTAACAATCTGTACACAATATTTGAACCACATCGTGAAATCGCAGCCTTCGTAATCTCCAAAACAGCCAATACTAGCTATAATAAGCTACTTCTCGGACGAAACGCACATTTGGAACACATTGCTGTGTCTTAAATGTTCTTTTATACTGTACACCCACGGATTTAAAGGTATGAAGTGTTGCCCTCTTGGCCAGCGCGAGGAAAATAACATTTGGTTCGATAATTAGTTCCAAATGAACAAGGCAACTGCGTCATCTTGACTTTTAGAATAAATTGAGGGCTTTCTAAACGCTTGGTCACTTGTACAGCATCAGCATGAGGACGCAATACAACTGACACACGTACAGTACATAAGAAGAGTAATGTCCGTTGCGCTGTTGTGAGAGGACCTCAAAGGAGATTTTTTTTCCTTTTACGGAACAAACTATTGACCATCACTGCAAGAACTGAGAAAGTAAAAACTTTTATTTATCTCCCATGCGTTTCGTCTGACAATGGCAGAATTCATCATGGAATTTTACAAGAACGGTAAATAAGCTTTCTTAACTACAAATACGACCTAAAACTGAACCTGTTTTAGGCAGCCTTTTTGTTCATCCTCTATCTGACACAAGAC